GTGATGGAGCTCTTTCATCCCTTTGATGGTGAGATAAAGTGACTATTCATGACAAAACCATAGATTTTAGCGAGAAATTCACAATATCCTCCCACATGGTTTACCGCCTCATCGTGGCTAGAAGGTGGCTCCTGGGTGTCGGACTGCGAAGTACAGCGGACGGTTGAAACCCCTCCCAGCAGGGCCATCCAAGCTAAAAAGAAGTCCGAAGTTTCCACCGAGAAAGCTTAGCTAGGAGTAAACCGTACCAAGAGTAACCACCTTCTTGGTAGGTACTAGTCGCAAGTTGGTAAAGCCTCTCTGATCCACAAGGGCCGGCGACCACCCGTAAAAGCTAAGATACAAAAAGGTTGCCTATGACTGAACATTGCATTTTATGCAAATGACTGTGTTCAAACTAGAAAAAACTTCTCATAAACCACCCGTGGAAGGTCCTAACCAAGCTGACCTCGGGATTCCAGAGAACAAAACGCTAAACCAACACAGATTTCCTGTGCTGGGGCCGCACTATCAGTGAAGACGGGCCATTCTAGTAACAAGTACCAAGTAAGCAATATTCAACTAACAGTACTCGACTAGTAGCACATAAACTGTCACCTCAGCTATGAGATTTGCGACTATACACTCGAGTTCATCTTCATCGAACATCCGTAACGCCCAGATATTGTACGATATGGTAGAATGCTTTCAATGGAATAACATGGTTTCCAATGATTGCTGCTCTGAAACTGTGACCTAACAATCTAGGTATAAATCAAGAAACGTAGCAATATTTGCCTTGACAATGGGGGATAAGATTGTCTTTTATAAATTTTGGCACAAGAGCAATAAACACCAATTTTATTGATCAGAAGTAATAAAAGTTGCTTACCAACACTAATTAAAGCAAGCGCCATCAGCCTAGGCACATCTTTGTCAGCTCTCAGGCAACAAACCAATACGGCTTTGTCAGGATTTTCTGAGCTTTATTTTGGTACCAAACTTGTCCAAACCTGTCTCAATCTCAAACTGCTTCAAGACATTACAAGGATGCATGATGCCAAATTGAGGAAGAGGAAGTTAACCGAACTAGCGGGAGTTATTGGATCATCCGCCGCACAGTGCCGACTAGTTGCCGCCTGACTATCACCTCTTTCGGTCACTGGGACACTTCCTGAACAAGAAGAAGTTCCAAAACATTAGTCATTTGCATCGAGGATCGACAACTTTCTTTAAATCCAAGGACACGACTCCTACGAGAGCGGCATTGATTTGTCGCCTGAGAGATGGCAGAACTTTGCTCAGGATGATAGCGCATACTTTGAGTAGTGTTGTTGAGCAATATTGATTATTTCTGGTTGATAACTGTGGTGCTTATTGCTCCAGTGTCAAAACTTAGGAGAAAACCTGATAGCTTACAGAAAAACTATACCAACTCACATTCGCTTGAATAACGTACGGAAAGTTATGGCACGCAACTTCTCCAGCATAAGAAAAATCCCGCACTGTATAAAAAAGCGTTCATTTGCTCCAAGTGCTTGGTCGAGTTTGGCAAGATTTCCCTCTTTAACCGCTTCGACAACCTAGAAGAATGAAGATTATTGGAATAGACAAAATAGAAAACGCCGATAAAAACCATTGACAAGAAAGAAGGGCTCACGTCATGAAACTCATCCAGCTGATACTTGTGCAGTAAGTGAGCCGTAGGCATATGACCGAGGAACATTTTCACAGGAATGAGATAAATGAGCACAAGCCTTTTATTTGAAAGACATTCTGCTGGACAATTACGAAAAGCATACGACAATGATTTCTCGGCTGAAATCTGGATTTTACCTGGTCTGGACGTTTTGAAATATTGAAAGATTAGTTAAACACTAGACAAAACAAGAACAAACCCAGTGGCAAATTAGCGTCGAACATAGCTTTTCTTCCTAAGAAATAATTGTATGTGACCTTGTCAGCCATCGAGAATGATTGATAAAGTGTTCCCGAATTTTCGATAGCGCGAATCAACGGTTTCAATAAATTCAACTTGTTAATCTGTAAAATAAGAAAGTTTTAGATATATTTGTAGATACACATGTCTGCAATTTTACTTAACCCTATTCAACTTCCTAAAAACTGCAGTAGATTGGTTTAAAACTTACGGGACCGCGTACCCACGACCTTTGTGTCTCTAAACCTCGACTGGCTGGGTCTAAGAATGGCGTATATGGCTTCTGCATTGTTAGACCAGCACGAGGGGTTAGACCGCATTGTTAGCTGCAAAACGCCGAAGGATAGAGAGGCTGAGACCATGGGTCCACAGTCCGGTAAGGGTTAAAATCGAGAGAGGAAATTTAAAGTAATAAAAAAAAAACACTTAACTTGAAGTATATACGGAAAAGCTGATTTGTCATATTCAATATCGCTATTTTCTTTGTCGTCGAGGGATCCGCTCTCCTTAAAAAGATTTACGAGTACAACATATTCCAATGAGCATAAAATACCACATCGATCCTCGATGGTTATGGCCAAATATTATAAACAAATTGCAGATGAAATAATTATTGGGAAACGGAATAGAGGAGATAATGAATGCTTTAGGTAACGTACACATCGGAAGTACAAGTCCTGTACGCTTCCATGATGTAATTGGCCGATTGTTCGTAATACGACGACGCGTTTTCGATCTCGTCGTCTTTTTCGGTAAGTTCATCAGCCTAAAGTATCAAAATCAAGATACAATTTCGGGACAACAGAGCTGTTAATCTGATGGCTGGAAAGGTGCTGTAGCGGAGATAGGATAGCACAGTTGCCAATGGTGCAGTGCGTCAGAAAACTAGGGATAAGCGATGAGTTGGCTCGATCGCCTCCCAACTCTTCCTTGCAATCGATCAACTGAACGCCTAGTAACACCTTGCACGGCTACAGCGACACTGTAAGGAGAAATATATCGACTGCTATCCTATGACATCCACAGGAAAAACGAAATCCTCAATCAGTACTCGAGGCAACACGTGAAATCTCCGCAGACCTTTGTGCAAACTGAATGTGAGAAATAGATCAAATGCAAGAAAAGTTGCGATTCGCTAGCAAACTGTGATAACTGGTCGTGTAATATAAATATATAAATATGTAAAAGCGTCATAACAAACCATCTTTGCAACATTCCGTAGATCGGAGCACAACTGATGGAAAATTGGCATAAACCAGTTCACTTCCTTTTTCTTTGCAACACCTCTTTATTGAATGTTTGCATAACCTGAAAAGTAATAAAATTAGAGACAGTGACGAAAAAGAAAACCAATGGAGGTCTACCACTAATCCTTTTGGTACCGTGGATCAACCCTTCTCAAACCCCTTCGCATTGCGTCTAACCTCTAGCGTGTTGCGTCTTACCCTAGCGTGGCGCGTTTAACAACGGCATGCTGGGGTTATACGCTACTGTTAGACGACGTGACACGCTGGAGGTTAGATGAAGAGGGTTGGGTCTATGGTCTCGAAAGAGCTAAAGTCGGAGAAAACTACAATACTGAACAAAATTTCAGGAAATGATTTCTTGCCTGAGCATGAGTGGTATAAGCTGCCTCATAGTTATGCGAAACATGTATATGATAGATCACTTGCAAATGTAGACAAACGACTTGGTCGAAAGCCTCGTCCTCAAGAAAGGACCGACTCTTCCTAGAGCCATATCCGTCGATCTAAAACCAGTTGTTAACTCTCTCATTATCGAACGACACAAAAAACTTCTACATATATATATATAATATATATATACGTATATTTGTTACTGTTACTGTTACTGTTACATCAGCCAAGCGGAACGAATGTTGACTGATTTCGATAACGCCTGTGGAAAGATCGGTCTTCAACTGAATCTAACGAAAACAATGTTCATGAGGAACGGATGGGTTTCTAATGCCCCATTCACGCTCAACGGAACGACAATTTCCGAATGCTCCAGTTACATCTATCTAGGTCGTGAAATCAACATGATAAACGACCTAGCCCCAGAGTTGAGCAGGAGGAAACGAGCGGCTTGGGGAACGTTTAAGAGCATCGAAGATGTAGTGAAGAGGACAAAGAACATCCGACTCCGTGCCCACCTTTTCGACTCGACAATTATCCCTGCCCTAACGTATGCAGCAGAAACCTGGTCGCTACGTAAGCAGGATGAAAGATCACTTGCCGTTATCGAACGCGCAGTCGAAAGGTCGATGCTAGGAGTATCTCGTATTTCGCAAATGAGACAAAGGATCCGAACTTCCGACCTACGTCAACGATCGAAAATCAGAGACGCCGTTCTACACGCCAGGATATCGAAAATAAGGTGGGCCGGACACGTGATGCGCTTCAACGACAACCGATGGACGAGAGCCGTTACCGACTGGATTCCTCGGGACGTCAAGCGCTCTAAAGGAAGACCACTGACCCGTTGGTCCGATTTCTTCACGAAAGCGATGGAAGAAAGATATGATGCTCAGCGAATTCCTAGAGCAAGGAGGACCCACTGGGCTACTCTTGCACGCGATAGGGAAAAATGGAAGAGTTGCTGGTACCCGCTCGAGTCACTCGACGATCAACGGGACGACAGGTGATACAGGTGACAGGTGATACATATATATATACATATATAATGCGTTGCAGTACATCATCATCATTTGGGAGATCTCAAAACAGTAAGATAAGACATGGCCGTGAATCATCAGACGAAGAACACTCGAAAAAAAGAAAAGGGAGTCCCGAATGATTACCTGGCTTGAATCAGAGATAGACGATGTCGCAAAAGATCTTGCGGCGATGTCCGATTCATTTCGACTATAGACATGCGACATTCGTGGGTTGTGCCCAAAATGTCCATTTGACAAAAAGCTTTTGATCTGGTAACTTTTTCGAAGCTTATAAGGTAAGGTTTCAAACCTCTAACAAGGCCAACGTTCATGAGAGCCGCTAAGCAAGCTATTCGTGTTACTGATCTTCTGGTACTGTAGAGAGCACACGTCCAAGGATGCCGAGTGTTATATAAAATTTTGAGCCTAAGGCGGGAGTCGAACCCGCGCTCACTCATACGGGAGGGTCGTGCTGCCACGACACTACCAAGGTCACCGCTCTGCTACCCTTTTCCTTTGACTGTTGGAAATGCTGCGCATTAGTGCTGACGAAATGAGAGAAAACAAGCACAATAAGAGATTTGAAAACGTCTTACATGCAGGAATGGAAGAGAGCTGTGATCGTCATTGAGAGAGAGCAGTTTGGCTGCTTCGGTAGCGCTACTCCAGGTGGCCGTGTCGATCAACCGATCCAGCGCACTGAAGTATTCCGAGACACTTTCGAACGCCATTCTGAAGGATTCCATATTAGATGACAGCTCCATGTAGAGCAAAAGGCGCAACTTTTTACGAAAAATCGGATAAGAGCTGAAAACATCGAAGTATAAAGCACTTTTGAATGAGAATATCAGGCCGAAAATGCAGTATGAAGGAAAGAAAAAACGACATAAAGAATCGAAAAGGAAATGAAGACGAAACGACGATGATTAACTGTTTTCTCCCTACTTGACAAACATCGAAACTTTGCAGTTATAAAGTTTAAACATGAAATCAGCGACGATATCTTATAGACTTGGTAAGGATTTTTCCAACTTTTCCGTTTTTTTCGATTACTTTTCATGCATTTACGTTTTCGCCTTCCCTATATATATATATATATATATATATATATATATATAAAAGGATAAAGTTCCGGGCGTTGATCAATCCCTGAGGGATGCGCCATGCACTCGACTTCAATTTCTAACTTCGTTTGAGGTGATTGAATGCACATCTGGCCTTTACAATGACTCGCGGTGGCCTCCCGCTGAACCGAGTCAGTGCTGCTTATCCTCCCAGATAAGTCTGAGGCCTGTCTGGTACCAATTTACCGACCCCGGAGGGATGGTTGCCTTGGTGAGCCATGAGCGCGAGATCGAACCAGTGACCTCGTGAGCGACGCAGGGCGCCTCAAACCACTGCGCCACATGCGCTCTATATATATACATATGTACATATATATATATGTATATATGTAAATATATATATATATACGTATAACAATATCTTTTAAGATGGAATTGTCGCTAGTGCAGAACGATTGTTTATACTGCACTAGTGTCGATGCATGTCAAAGCATCACTTCAACCCAAGCGATACTCGTGTAGCATCAACAATTGTTTCTGAGGTTCTGTTCGGTTATGAGGGAACAATGATAAACCCGATCTCATTCGCTGGAGAAGGAAATTTTCATAAGAGTGTTAAAAACCACTCGAAAGCTACGACTTCACGCTACAGCACCATGTCGCCGGTTTCCGAAAATCCCTTTTTTTGAAGATGTTACAGAAGGAGACTCCCTGCGTTGCAGACGCGCATATTCTCGCCACAGAGCTTTTATTTGGACTATTAGCAATCAATCGATAGCGTAAACGTTTCTGATTCTAACGCTGTGCCTATACCTTGAAAAGACCGCTTCTTTGCAAAGCAGTAGGTAAAATAAGTTGAATTCGGATATGTGAGAAACGGAGTCTATGGCCAGTTCACGTGCGGCTGGCTAAGGCGGTCACGTGCTCTGGCGCGATGCTTCTCTACGCGTCATATGCCCGACAAAAAAACCGAAGATCATCGCGCCATCGAACGTTGCGCTCATAGCGCGGGCACGTGAATTGGCCAAAGTCCCCCTGATCACATAGGCTAATTCAACTTATTTTACGTGCTTCGTTGCAGAGAAACAGTCTTTTCAGGACAGAAGCACAGCGTTAGAATCAGAAACGATCACGCTATCGAATGATTACTAATGGTCCAAAGAAAGAGCTTTGTCCGACGGAGATATGCGCGTCTGCAACACAACAAATCTCCTTCTGTAGCAACGTCAGAAAAAGGCTTTTTCGAAAACCGGCGACGTGGTGCTATGTCCTCAAATCTCGTCTTACGAATAATCACTAACACTCCTATGAAAAGTCCTCTCCAGCGAATGAGATCGGTTTATCATTGTTCCATCATAACCAATAATACCCGTTCAGCGTTCCGGACATCACCTGTCGTCCCGCAGATCGTCGAGTGACTCGAGCGGGTACCAGCAACTCTTCCATTTTCCCTATCGCGGTAAGAGTAGCCCAGCGGGTTCTCTCGCTCTGAGGATCGCTGAGCATCATATCTTTCTTTCATGCCTTTCGTGAAGAAATCGGATCCGGACATATCCATCTTGAAAGAAATGTGCAAGTGTTATAAACTGCCATAACCGCAAAGGCTGTCCTAACAACAGCGAAGACAAAAACTCAAATGCATGAGAAATAATCAACAAAAACGAAAAAGTTCGCATAGAATTTCCAGCCAATCAATGATATTCTGCATCGAATGTTTATATAAAATGGGTCTTCCATAGTGTCATCTAACAAAATAATAGATCAGGACACTTAAGAGTTAAATTTTCAAGAGTAAAACAGAATTCAAACTGAAAAAATTAGTGCCGGATTACCTGATTCAGCTTTGAAGAGCCAGTGATATTTGATAACTCTCAAGAACTACTCACTGTCTAGGCTCATATAGGAACGCTATTCTTAGCATAAGCTTAGAAGTTAATCGGCTATTTTTACTTTGAATCATCGACTCCTCAAACGACAACAAGGACCGAGATCGCCAACGAGGACGAACCTCTATAGACAATCGACTCTGATCGCTGGCCTGAACGAAAGGAAGATGTCGAGACGCTAACCAATCTGCTAACCTCGTGGCATTGATGGCCAAAGTATGAGAGGAAACTACTAGTACCTTAATCGGCTGTTTAATACAAACTAGGCATCAGAGTGGAATGCTTTGACGGAGTTTGCGGAAAAAAAAACAGTCGATCAAAGAAACTTTTATATCATCGTATACCAGCCGCAAAACATCGAGTTTTTCGTGGGTAACACTGCCAGTGATACTCTCGCTCAACGAGCAATTATCATTCTTCAGCGCTCATCCCTATCATAACCCCTTGGGGTCCATGAGGATCTATTTAGTGCTGACCGCGCGACGCTAAATCTCGCTCAGCTACTGTAATGGCGGCGTCGCGCCCTGTGGGAATGCAGGCAGAAAGCCAGACATGCGGATGCTGCTCGCCTTCGACCGCCAAGCAAGCGACGGTGCAACGCCTCCTTCTTATAAACGCTGGTTCCCAAAGGGATAAGTGGCGAGTAGCCGAGGAAAACGGCAATGATGGAGGGGGAAACGGCCGAAACAAGCGTATCCGCCGACTCTATCGGATGAATTTTTCATCGATCCTCAAAAAGACGGCTAAAAACATTCTCAAAGACCACACCTTTGATCTACTAGCTGCAAAAAATCGATACGCATTCCGCCCACTAAATACTTGCCAGAGGGACTGCGATAAGATTAGCTTCGGTCCTTATTGATGAATTTAGGATTCTAAAGATTTATTTGTAATTACGAAAAAATAAAAATCGTTAGGGCCGCCTGGGAATAGATTCGACGAATCGATCCACAAACTTCCTGGATAGTAGCATCTTCACAGGCCGCTTTAACTGCACAAAAAAACCGACTATGAACTGAAATGGGCATTGAAATAGCGGAGGATTCCGTAAGACAAATAGCTCATGTGCTCTTAGTGGGACGGAAAATAGTCATTGGAGCGCGAAATCTCGAGCTATAATGCTTGCTTTGTAATATGAGTGTTTCGTTTCTGACTATGACTTATCAGTTCATAACGGAACACTTTCTATCGATAGAACAGAGTCGAATCTAATTTTCAAAGGTGTTTCTGTAGAAAACGGGGGGCCGTGACCAAGTGGTTGTGATGCTCGTCGCGGCGCGCGTGGAGCCGAGCTCCACCCCCCAGCTCTCTCCGGCAGTCAACAAGAGCGCCCCATGGAACACCAGTGAGAGGATATCTTTGAGAGCAAGATGTACGTGCTCAACCAGTACTCTCTGCCGCTCAAGAAGAAGACGAAAAACGAGTGGAATGCTACAAGTACTGAGATCCGCACAGTGAAAAAAAAACACTGAGATGACGGATCAAAATATAGGATCTCCTGTAGGAAACACTGCATAAGGTGTAAAGCGCTATTGCAGATATGTTCACACGTAGAACAAGAACATAAATTATGGAGCTTTCGGCGTTGATCTATCTCTGAACGATATGTGCTGTATTCATATATATCAAACATCATCATACCACCCTCCCTGATATGCGCCCGGAGCCGAGGGGAGCGAGATCGAACCGAAGACGTGTCTATCGCACGGGTCACCTCCAACCACTACGCTACACGCGTCCCATGTTCACGATGACGTTATGCGCGATCGTGAGGCATCAAGATCCATTATCCAAGTAACACATGTCGAAGATAAAACATAACGGAATTGAATTGGCAGACTCCATGAATTTCAACCTCCTTGAGACTATATAAAGGCAAACAGAATAGCTATCAAGGAAACTAAAGGAGAATCGTAAATACTTTTCCTAACTTCTTCTTTGGTGCGCTGTGGCCGAGTGATTGTGATGCTCGTTGCGACGCTCGTGGAGCCGAGGTCATACCCCTCAATACTCCCCGGCGGTCAACAAGAATGCCCTATGGAACGCCACAGCCAGGCTATCCTCGAGATTGTAAGGAGACATGCTTGACCAATATTTTACGGCATTCAAGAAGAAGACGAAAATGAATCGAGCTACAAGTACTGGGAGTCAGCACAATAAAAAATTGTGATGACGGGTAATCTAAATAGATAATAAAAAAATAAATCTTCTTGTTACTGTTGCATTAATATTGCATAATCGGATAGGATATTTATCACTCTGTACGGATCCTTACAAATCTTCGATTCGATTTGTTCCCTTGAGTCCACCATCTGCAGAGGTTGCCTAGCTTTCTCCATTTGAGCCAGCTTGCTTTTTGTGAAAGTCTACTGAGCATACCAGTTATAAATAAGCTTCCTCATTATCATTCAGGATAAAGTACATGTACCACATGAATGTGGGAAACGATAAAGTTTCCAAGAACGGCCAAGATTCTCTTAGTCTTCGAGAATTCCGGCACTATTGCCACTCTATTGTAGCTTAAAAATCTCTTTTACCACTAG